ATCGTGAGCTGTGAACTTTTAAACCCTGCAGTTTCGTCGTACAGTGTGAGATGTAGAGTTTATGCATGGATTTAGTGTTTGTCAGAGTCGCAGTGGGTCCCGTACATATCTCCAGCAGTGTATGGGCGGGGGGGGGGGGGGGGTGCACCATGGACAGGTCGCCAGTCTGTTGCAGGGGCAACCTAAGGAGAATTAACCTAATAATCATGTTTTTTGACCATGGCAGGAAGCCAGAGTACCCAAAGAGAACCAGTGCATGCTCAGGGAGAACATGCAAACTTCAGGTAGAAAGATCCTGGGCCGGGAATCAAACCCAGAACCTTCTTGCTGCAAGGCAACAGTGCCATAAATTAAATCAGCTGCTATTCTCAGCAGGATCCAGCCTGCCATATATACCCATAGTAATGGTGGACAGTAGCCTTGTTGTAGTACTACGTATGTCCTACTGACGGGACAGTAAACAGGTTAACCAGCCATTCTTTCCCATAATACCTTAGAAAAATATGAATTTATGATCAGATGATCCTTTACAGCCTCCGTATTCTGTCTGACTTTGCCTCAGAGTCATTTCGAACAGAATAAATTTTTAGTTTTTCCTTAAGACTAAAGTAGACATAGAACACTCAGACATACCTGTAAAGTGTGTCTTTAGAATACTAACTGTAAGTTCTGGAGAAGATATTGGTTCACCTTCTATTTTCTTATGCTCTGTGTCAGGACTGTAACCTTCACTGAACTCTCCCTCAGGTTCACATGGAGGAGAAACGGGAAGTTCTTCAACATTGGCAAAGATCACAGAGTGACAATGAAAAAACGCTCAGGGACTCTGGAGATCGGATTTAAAACCGGAGGAAAACCAGAGGACTACGAAGGAGAGTACCAGTGTTTTGCCACCAATAACTATGGAGTGGCTCTGTCCAACAAAATACTGCTCCGGGTCTCCAGTAAGAACCTTTCTATCACTGAGTTACTCCTAAACATGTAGACCTATTAGTGCAAAGTGCAAAATAAAATCTTATTTAGTAAGAAGAGACTTTCTTTAGTTCTTTAGAAGATCAAACTTCTTCATAGATTAGAGTCTCACCCTCTTGTTGTTGCCATTTTTTCCAGAGGCTCCCTTGTGGCCTAAGGAATTGCTGGACCCAGTGACAGTGACAGAAGGCTCCCCCCTGGTCCTACCCTGCAACCCGCCCCCTGGCCTGCCTCCTCCATACATATTCTGGGCGGACAGTAGTAAGCAAAGCTTTTCCTTATTCGTTTTTATGATTTATGCTGCTGAAGATTCTCAGTCATCCAGGTCATAGCCACAAGGCGGACTAAGATTTCAACTTTCAAAAACCTACAATGCTTCTTCAAACTTGGAAACAAAGTCCAGTGGACTTTTTTAAACTTTTCAGGAATTCTCATGATTTATTTTTTTTTTAAATGTTGATTTTTTTCTTTGACTTATTTGCTGCACCTGTAACACTGCGAAAAGTGGGTGGAGCTTAGTATGTTTGATATGTTGACATGTTTTATACCAGAATTCTGTCATAAATGTCATGAAGTTCTTGACGTTTCATTGGTTGGAGGATCTGATTAAAGTAACCCTGCACTGTTGGCACTGGATGCGTTATTTCTGTCATTAATCCTATTGGAGGATAAAAGGAGTTCTTTAGTTGCTTTCACACGTTTGACACATTAAAGGGTGAATTTAGAGGAAGGTTTATGCTTTTCCTTTGTTAATCAACTAATACTGATCCTCCAGAGTGAAAAGAGAAACCAAATCATGCTGTCTATAACTTTGAAACCACTTATCTATTAGTTGCCATAAATTAAATCGTAATATATATAAATGTAGCTCTTTGCCTGAGTCGCAGTGGCAGCCTAGACCCCCAGACTTCCCCCATCCTAAACAGCTCCTGCAGCTCCCCAGGGGAAGCTAGGGGTGTACCAGGAGCCACCAGCATGTCCCTGATGTCCCGCGGACCTCCTCCCACTGGGACGTCCATAAGGGACTTACGAGCCAGCTTTAGTGGACTCCTGTCGCTGTTAAGGACTGTGCTCTGAACCTCGCCCTCACACTAGCTCTGTCCGGCCATCCCTTTGCATCTGAGGTCTCCATTTTCAGTCATGACCAGGGAGTGTGTAGAAACGTAGACTGACATTACACCATGTAGAATGACAAGGCTGCATGACTCTCAAGCTTGTATTACATTTGTGACATAAGAATCTGGTAAAGCAATATAACTTTATGTGAGGCAGATATTGCTTGACCTTTCCACTAACATATCGATGCCTTCTACTTTAGCATGAAACTGGGGGGGGCCTAAGGATGGAGCCATAAGGTGAACCCTAAAACACTATGCAAGACCTGCACTGTTACCAACACTTCAGAAAGAAAAGTCACTATTAGCTGTCCTACAAGTAGCTAGATGATGTTATCACCTACTTTGCATATTTGCTCATGTTTTGATCTGGCCATAGAATCCAATTAACGTCAGTTTATTTATGTCATCTCAAGGCACTTTCCAGTTCACCAGATCATCCAGTCAAATTGATTCAAAGTTTTCTATTTAAGGAAA